CTGGCTTCCAAGTGTGGCACTCTAACCACTGGGTACACACGGTACACTTCTCTGTGCCCCAGCAGTGGGTGCCACTACCATGACCCTCCAGGTGCATGTCTTTTTATGTGCTTGTGAGAGCTTTGTGGGAGTTTAAAGTTAGGAGCTTTTGGAACAAAAAAAAATAATAATCAAATAGATATGGAATTTGAATTGGAGCTTCTGGAATTAGAGCTGAATGAGGATGTTAGGGCCCAGAGGGGAAGATGCCTCTCTCAAGTTGTGCTTGCTTGTCAGTAGCAGAGCAAGTCCTTAAGTATGTAGCTCTCTTTTACAAGACTTTCACTGCGACAGTTTCATCAATCCTCCCAACAGCTGGTGAGGTAGCAGGGGTTAGTGTCCCTGTATTGCAGCTGAGGTGGTGACTTGGCTAAGGTGCTGATACCAAATGAGGACCCAGGACTCTCCACCTTCTTGTGGTCCCCCTGCTGAGGCCACCTCTCCTCGAACTGAACCTACCTCTGCTCTTCTCCTCCGGGGTCTGTTTTCAGGGGTGAAGTTGCTGACCTCAGTCAGGCCTGCGGATTGCTCTCCTGCCATAGGTGATACGACTTCACTTTTTTTAAAAGTGAAAATGGCTATATAGTAATTAGACCTGTCTTGTTCTTGGTTAGGTTAAAAGTGGTCTGTCCAAGCTATGTCTGTTACAAAGAGTACATCTTGATACCTTCCTTGGACAGAAGGCACTGGCCCCGTATGGAAAGGGTGCTGGGTGGGCAGGGGTCAGAACCTCCTTCTGTCCTGAGATAGTCTGCTTGCCCCTGCTGGTTCTGTTTCCTCGTCTTGGAGTTGGCTTGCAGAGCCTTCTTTACGTTGAGCTTTAAGCTAGCTACTTGTTAAGGATCTTATTCTCAGCTCTTGGTGGTATTGACATTTTTTGGGTTAGTGCCATTGAAAAATTTGTTTCTGCAATGTGTGATACTACTTCATTGCAAGGGGAATTTTTATACTAATACTGTCATTATAAGGATAGCACATTTGGCCCAGTTAAATGGACAGGGTTAAGAGTATACCTTCCACTTCAGTGCTTATATTCCAAAAGGTAACGTCTCCGTTTTGTTTGAAACGTTCCCATTTCAGACAACACGCCAACTTGGCTGGCACACTGAGTGGCCACGCATCCTGGGTGCTGAACGTTGCATTTTGTCCTGATGACACACACTTTGTTTCCAGGTATTTAATGATTCTTATTAGTTTCTAAAATGCAAGGAAGATGAAGATGGCCATTTTGTATGAATCACCTTAAAATTTGAAGGTGGTATGACCTTTTTTAATTCAAGTAGCCTTTGTTTTCTAGTGTTTTTTTAATTATGAAGTTAATTGTTCTTAACTGGAACAAAAGTGGATTCTTTTGAACAGTTCAGCTCTTAGTTTTTCCTTATAAATCTAGGTTTCTGTCTACAGTTACTTAAGGGATACTTGTGCTCCAGTGGTAACTTCAGATATGAAAATCTGCTGGTAAAATGTTGTGCTTTGAGACCCCAGTATTGTTCAGGCTCAGGATGACCAAGACAGTTGAAAAGCAGGAGACGGATGGCTTAATAGCGTTGCGCAGAGGCTTACAGAAGCCACTGAGAGCCTTTATTTTGAAGCTCCGGTTGGCCTCCCTCCCATGAGGAGATAGGCTCAGCAGAGACTCCTGATGAGAACACTTAATATGAGGGCCAGGCAGCTCAGAAGCTCAGGGAAAGAGCTGCTCTGTGAGTGGGGAAAGCCAGCCAGTGATGCCAACAAGCTTGACCACCTTTTGGGGCCCTGGTTGCCACTTGGGCACACAGGCACTGCGGGGGCCTTTGACGTTAAGTCGAGTGAAGGAGTGTGGAATTTTTGGTGAGATTCCTTCCAACTTCAAACCAGTCTGAAAACTTTCCTGCTATTAATGTTCCCTTTTTTTAATAGTTCATCTGACAAAAGTGTGAAAGTTTGGGATGTTGGAACAAGGACTTGTGTTCACACCTTCTTTGATCACCAGGATCAGGTATGGCATAGCTAACATTTCAGTTCCTTTGTCTTTGGATTGCTAGCACTGTCTGACCACTGTGCCAAAACCCATTCCTTTTCCTAACCTTGCTGCTTGAGTTGTCCAGACTGGTCAGCCCTCGGGGCTGAGCTGATCTGACCGTCCAGCCAGTGTTCCTGTGCACACTCTGGGATGCAGAGGCTGGGTGTGCGCTGTCAGCCTGGCAACCTGCAGAGCGGGGTGTCCCTGAGCAGGCCAGAAAACATGGTACTAGCCACGCAGCCTTCCAGTGCCTTCTTTGAAACATGCTGCAGCTGGTGCCAGGGGTGCGCCTGGGCCCTTTTCTGGGTACAGCCCAGCCATGGCTCACTCGGGAAGGACCTGCCTCCTCAGAAGCCTCCACTGCTTAAACACAGCCATCACTTTTCTCTTTTGGAGCTGTCCAAAGAAGTGGTGTGTGTGTGTGTTTTTTTTTTCCAATATACTTGAAGCCAGAGCTTCTTACAGGTTGTGTGGCCTTAGTGATACTGTTAATTTTCATTTCAGTCTTAAATTAGGAAAAAGAGGCTCTCTTCTCATCAGATTCTTTTTATCTTTGTCAAGATGAATGTGAAATGATAAAAGTGTTTCTAGTGCAGAGCTTCTCAGTCTTTAATATGCAAGGAATCCCCTGAGGATCTGGTAGAAATACAGGCGCTGATTGAGTCGGTCTAGCCTGGGGCCTGAGATTTTGCATTCCTAACAACCTCCAGGTGAGGGCAGCACTGCTGGTTCCAACCACTTTGAGATAAAGGTCTTGGGGAACTAGTCACTATAAAAAATATAATGCCCATGGCAGTATAAAGTTGGCTTTTAATATATTTTAAATGTTTTTATGATGATCCCATAGAATTTTTTGAAATGTAGCTTGAAGTTTACAAATTTTCATGCTTTTTTACATTTAATCTTAAATTGTTGCAGTAAAGTTGAGGGAGTTTAATCTTGACATTCCACTCCTAGATTTAAACATTTCACTCAGGGACTGAGTCCTGGCTGGCTGTGTTGCTTTATGTGTGGGGGTCAAAGTGTGGTGCTGTCTCAGGGGACCCATTTGTAGTAGAAGTGAGGCCATCCCCTGGCCCAACCACACCACCAAATTCAGGGCTAGAATACCAGCTCAGGGCTAGGGTGACAGGCTGACCTGATAAGACCCCAACCACATCAGTTCTGTCTGGGAGGGAGGTGTGAATCTGTTAATTCAACACATAGCAAGTGAAATCAATGATCTGCGAGGCCAAGTTGTCTAGCTCCCGCGGACAGACAAGCTCCATAGGTCTCAAAAGAGTGAGAATTACTGACCATGGGGGTGAGCGCAGTTTACAGCTGTCCCTGTAGACAGTGACCTCGAGGCAGCTGCAGGGCCTTTTCCTTCCTGGAAACGTAAATGAGAACCCATGCTGGCCCCTTGTGGGTTCTGTCTTCATGGCATTAGGTCACTCCCTGGATTCTGAATCTTTGAAATGTTTGTGAATATCTTGATTTGTGTTTAGAAAAGAAATTTTTCCAGAGTGTGGGAGGTGAGAGGAATGATAATTAAGCAGTAGCAAGAAAAGATGCCTGATTAAAGACCCCATTCTCACTGGTTCGGAAAGCACGAGAACACCCTCATTTCAGTGTTTTTCTAGATTGAGTATAATGAGAATAGAGTAAGGATGTTCATTCATGAAGAATGAAGGCATTAGCAGAACTTTTCTTTCCTTTTTATTTACAGGTCTGGGGAGTAAAATACAATGGAAATGGCTCAAAAATTGTGTCCGTCGGAGATGACCAGGAAATTCACGTCTATGACTGTCCAATTTAAATGTCAAAGCCTTCCAGGCTAATGCTGCACAGAGAATGTATAGATTGATCATGACATTCCTTACCTTTCTAGCTTGTTTAAAGGAAATACAGCATTTATTGTAGCAAAAACTTAAATTTTATAGATACAATATAAGTCTTTTCATGTTTTATTGGAAATGCCCTTCATACTTTAACATAAAGTGTTCTTAATGCAAACACCCGTGCTACTGAACATGCCTCTTTTTCATTTGCCCTATTCCTGGTCGGAAGAATCGGCATCATTGCATGAGAGCGAGTATCCGTCTCAGAACCGAAGACATCCAGGCACTAACTGAACTGCCCAGCGTAGGAATTCAGGCTCACTCTTCTGGGGGATGCCACGCAGAAGCTGTGATAGGAGGCTCATCTGTTTCAGAACGGGATCCTGAAGGAAATAGGCTGTTGGCGTGGGTGGGGACATTCTGCAGTTCTGTTGGATAGATTTAACATGTCCCCTGCCACACTCTCTTTTTGTTACTTTTAGAGAAGCTATGACTTGCTGGGTGGACATTGCTGCCTTAACAGTGTCTGTAGGCGCCTGCCCACACCGGCCCTGGCTGACCTCCCGTGTCGCCCGTTACCCCAGAGTGCCTGTACCTCGGTTTTCTCCTCTGTGGCTCACTTGGGACTTGGTCTGTGTGTGAATGGGGAGGGTGTGAACAGCTAACACTCTGAAGCCTGTTGCGTTTTACTGATCATGACTTCATCTGCATCATGTCAGGTCCTGTGCTTTTCCTCCAAACTTCCCATAACCCTTGGAATCAAGCCCATGCTTTTTACCAGAGCCCCTTGCTTCGCCCTCCTGCCTCTTCCCCTTGTTCACCCTCCTGTAACCACACAGCCCTTATCATTTCCTCCACCTAGAATGTTTCTTCCTCAGACCTTCAGGGGTCTCACTGCTTTCAGGTAGCTACTCGGGCATCGGCTCCCAGTAGAGGCCTGCCCCTGGTCGCCTTCTCATTACTCTCCGTTGCAGTCATCAGGGCCTGATGTTTGCATCTATCCCCACCCCCAAAATACAAGCTCAACGTGAATGGAAACTTCATTCCGTTTTATCAGCCAATATGAGGCAAACTGGCACTCAGCACTGTTCACTGGAGCCTGAGAAAATTTTTAAAAAACCAAAACCATGTCTTTCATACCAGCTCAATTTTAATTTTAAAGTGACAAATGTACAGGTGGAATAAATTTTAAGCAACACCCTCCAAATCCCATTTACATGACAAGGAGCTGAATGTAATTCTGTCCCATCAACTAGACAGTAATTTTCTAGCAATTTATTAGTCACAGCACAGAAACAACACCCCGGAGTTGTGGTCCGCTTGTAAATTGATTTTCATATAGTCTTAGTTGGAAGAATAGCTTTCATGTCTTTCCTGACCAATAGACAGAGCTCTTTCTATACCTAGTTTGAGCACGTTATGCGCTCTCACTAGCCAGCAGTGTTATGCTGGAGCCTGGTCCATCCGCCGGACCTGCATGCCATGGGTCTGATCTGCCTTTGGCCCTCCCAGGGAGGTCCCTGGTCTAAGTCAAGCTCTCAGGTACTGTAGAACCAAGTAAGGGTGGCTCTGAAAAGTGGCCAGCAGCTTAGAAGGGAGCTGTTTTTCTTCATGGCTAGTCTGGGGAGGAAAGGAGTAGTAATAGCTAAAGGTTGAGGTAACCCTAAATTTAAATTGTAATCTTCCTGCCAGGAGTAAATTAATGCCTAACCCCCTCCAAACAAGCTGTCATTTACAGTGGCAGTCCCTACAGCCTGCAGCCCACAGTGGCACTCGATCAGTGCAGTTCCCACTAAAACGTTACCCTTGGACAGGAAGCCCTTTGTGATATGGCTGTGCAAGAAGAGGGGCAGTCCTTTGGGAGGGAGCTGAGTCTGGGAGAATGAGGTGCAAAACACTGAGACCTTCTCTGCCTTTCCAGACCCTCAAGTCATCCAGGATCACGGGTCAGACAGGGAAGCTGGCTGTGCCACGAGGCCAAACCACCAGTGTTCTCCCATGGCTTCTGCTGCTGCACTGAGGCTGCTGGGGACATGGATGGTCTCGTTTTCTTTACAAGTAAGCACTTTGGTGGGAGAATACTGCAAAGGCTGTCAACAAAATAAAACCACAAAGAACACGGTGCGGGGGTCACAGGCAAACAGTTTTATCGGCGTTTTGTTTAAAACACTGGCTAGTCCTCACCACAAGGCTTGGAAGGTGCGGGAAGCTTCCAAGAGAGTTGATCAGACACACACAACCCGTTCCAAGCACTCACAGAACAGTAGGAATCAAGTTGGCCCTGCAGCCCACTCAGCATGAACCAGGCACTGCAGCCAAGGCCAATACACAGATGTGCTTTTATTCTGGAGGAGAGTCATCTAGGATCTAGATTCAGAAAGGTCACATTAGCAGCCCTGAGATCATGCCCTCAGTAACTCCCGCGGGAGGGAGGAGGGAGGGAAGAGAGACTGCAGAGCTGGAGGCGGCCAGGTCGCCCACCTCGGGCCTGGAGGCTCGCGATGGGCTGAGTGCTCTTGCCTGGGCTGTGCTTTATTGGTGCAACTGAGTTATGGCAAAGCCACTAGAAGCACAAAGTGTCAGTGCGGTTACTGGCATCTCAAAAGTATCCTGAAAATGTAAATAAACAGATTCCATATGCAGACTAGAGGTGATTTACACTTAAAACATTTAAATATAAATTAAGCTATAACTTAAGTTACAACCAAAAGAAAAACCAAAAAGACACTCAGCAATTGAGAATGCTGAACACATACACAGGACACCCCAAACACGAGGCCATTAAAGCGATGCCATTTTCATTGTGCCAACTTTACATTCATCACGTGCTAGTCCGGCCGGGCCACGCCGCGCCGGCCGCATCACGCCGTCTGGCACTGCACGCCGGCCCGGGGCCCGTCATCGTCCTCCTCGTAGGCCTCCCTGTGCTGGCGCCAGTTCTGCTCACTGGGATTAAACTCCTTCAGCTCCACCTGATCCATGTCATCTGCAATCCTGACTTTCTGTCGAGGAGGGAGAAGAGCTTCCAGCTGAGGAAGCTTGTCTTGAGAAAGCCAGTGTTTTTCAGGAAAAATAACCTGTAAAGAGTGAGGTGGAAAGAGCAGTTGTTTCTTCTCTTCCCAATTACGGCATTTAATAACATGTCCCGTGAGAATAAAACACATGCACTTACTAAAAACTGTATGATCAGAGTCCCCTTCTCCAGGGGCGCCTTGTAGATTGGCATTCCTTCATTCCGCACACATTTCAGGTCCCCGTGCTTTATCACCTCACCTGCCGCAAGAAAGTATTACTTATGAAACAGGAAGACGGAGGGCAGCCTGGAGAGGTCTCTCCCTGCTGGGAGAGGCTGGGGCAGAGGCTAGCACTCCCAGGGCGGCAGGCAAAGGCATGGGTCACGGAGCATCTGACTGGAAAAGGCTGGTCCCAGTCAGAATGATCTCTGTCAGAGGAACTGTCTGGGTGAAGGGGGTCGGGGTGAGGGGAGTGGAACCCTCTGGCCGCGTGCTGGGCTCTGGCAGGATGGTGTCGTCCAGGAGGAGCGTGCAGGAGCCTCCATCATAAGGTAGGTTGGTTTAAAAAAGTGAGCTAGGAATCCACACTCAGTCTGGGTAAGCAGGGCTACCACCTGTCAGCCTGCCTCTCCAGGTCATTACAAACATCGTCTCATGAGTGGGAGAGTCTGCCCCTCACAGACTCAAGCGGACCTTGGAGCAGGAATGGGCCTCAGAGGAGTCCAGCCAGACCCCACCTGGCAGGACAGCCGGCCTTCTGGCTGGGGGGCCTACAGGCCGCTCTGGCCCCGGGCAGCCCCCTCACCGCGCCGGTGGGCCGGAGCTGGTCTGGCCTGCACTCACTGGGTCTTACGTCTGCTTTTTCAAAAGGCATCGTGGGAGTTTAGCTCTTGGTTCTCCCCCAAATCTAAAATATTATTTCCTTCCAAACATGAAAAGGAAAGAGGCAAAAGGGTCTCTTTAAAAAGTATGTTCTTCAGCTCGGTAATGTAAATGGACAAAGAAGAAACAAATGTTCAGGAAAAATGTGGGAGAGAGCAAGCGAACACTTACTCACCATCCCACTCCCCCTGGTGACCTCTCACGAGGAAATCTTTCCAAGTATCACAGGAGTTTCTAAAGTGCAGCGCGTGGAGGGCTCTCTCCTCGGGGCGTGCAGGGCGGTGACTCACACGTGGCCCTCGGGGCTACCGACTGCGGGCGGGGCCCTTAGCTAAATGGCCCGGGTGGCTGGGCTTCTTCCTTGTTTTGTTTTTAACAGTTTTTCTGTCTCTCTGTTCCTATCAGGTGTCACTTCTTGCTCTCAGCACAACGCCTCGTGCTTCTGCTTCTAGCTCACTAGGGGCTGGGAAACTGTGAGAGCACGTGTAAGAGAAGGGAGAAGACAGTGAGCCGGCTCCTCTGTGAGGGCTCACACCCTGGGGCAGCTCCTAAGGGACATTTTTCTTTAATCTCCAGATTCTCAGCCATGCTTAAGACAGCCTAGGGGCCTCTGGCGAGAAAGGCACCTCAACGGTGGACGAGAACAGGAAGAGAGAAGAGGAAATGAAGGAAGGAGAAATTAGCCAAAACAAGAAAAGAAAAAGAGGTGAAAGAACAGGAGAGGACACAAGAAAGGATAAATGAGCAAAAAGCAGAAGGTTTTCTGGACACCCTGCCCGTCCGCATAACTAAGCAAGGAAATGGGTTTCTTGGGGTTGACCACTTCCTTCCCTCTGGGGCTCACTTCCTCCCTCTTGTCCTTGGTGCCCAGGTTCCCTGTGGCTGGGGTCCAATCCCATGGCAGGGGCCCACACCGACCCAAGACCTCAAATCACCCATCCTCGGCCAAGGACAAGCCAAAGAAGTTACACACAGGTGCTGCCCAGCTCCTCCTCCCAGAAGGGCTGGAATCAGGCCTGGCACAATGTTAGGGGGTCCTGGACATGGTACCCGGGGTGCTGGAAACACGCCCACCCACAGCCTGTGGCCTAGGGCTTTGAGTGAACTGTGATCCTCAAGCTCTCCTGTTCAGATGAGGGGAGGAATTGGGCACCCTGGGAGGCTTGCAGAATGGAATCTAAAGGAAGGTACTGTATTTAAATTTTTCATGCAATTTTTCATTATACTGCAGTGCTTTCCCCAATCCTTAAGTATATGTGTATATCAACACAACACAAATGAAAAACCAAACAGGGTAAGTAAGATGTTAACAACAGGCAAATCATTTATGGGTGATCCCTGTACTATTTTATTTTTACAACTTTTTGTTACTTTGAAATTGTTTCCAAATAAAAAGTAAAAAAAACCAGTAAAACAAAAAACCTCTCATCAGGACTTAGATATATAATTCCATTTCACATTATACCCAGAAAAGGAGGAAACAGAAAGCTGAAGAGGAAAATGGCAGAGAAGGAGAACAAGGCCAGAAAGGGGAAGAAAGAAATGGGCACAGAGGCAGGGAAGCCTTGGAAAGTGGTCGGGGAGGCAAGGTGGCTCACTCCACTGGACTTCGGAGTCTTAATTACCACCTGCTACAGCTTATGGGCTGGTTACCTCCCACTCTCGTCCTGAACCCACCCTTCTAGCCTTGAACTTCAGATGCCCACAGAAAAAGTTACTCCCTGACCATGTGGCCAGTGAGGGGCCTAGAGCAGCACTACTCATGGCCAGTGATGGGGTCAAGGGTGACTCGGTGGCTCAGCCACCACCACAGCTGTCTGGACGTTCTTTGACTTGGACAACTGACCTGAAGTGCTGCTTTTCAGAGGCAGCTTCAAGTTGAGGGCCCCAGCCTGGCCTCTTCCCTTCTCCCATCTGCCTGCCCTTCCTGCAGCCCCTTCCAGGCAGGTGCTCGGGGGCCCACGTGGACTCTTTAACTGCAGTGAACACTAGCTGAGCTGGGAGACTGGCTTCTAGACATGTGTTGGCAGGCTGAGCTCTCAGGCCTTTGAGAACCTTCTGGTCCAGAGGCAGCTCCCTCCAGCTCCTGTGGGCGTGTGCAGACAGGCAGTTCTGTGGAGCCGACCAGGATAAGCTGGCAGGCAATGTCTTTTTTTCAGGAAAATTCTATTTTAAAATGTCTCTCACATGTAATCGACAACCCGGAGGCTAGAGAAACGGAGGAATCAGCACAGGTCACCAATTGATAGACTAACACCACCTATATCAGCTGTGTTTTCTTATCACACAAGAGTTAAGTTTTTAAATGTTAAGTTAAATTGGCAGGTTCCACATTTGCCATCACAGAAAGAGAAATACTTATTTGTGTTTTAAATAAAACTGGTTTTTTCCCAAAGTCTTGGGGAAAAAAATTGGCAGTTTCCAGTTAGAATTTTAGACCTCGGAGATTCCTATTTGAGGCTCCTTCCCCAACTCTGCATTTTTCTGTCTAGAAGACTATAAAAGAAATTCACAAAATTCTCAGGAGTCTTTAGTGGTGACTTTAAATGTAGAGAAAATCAAGTCACACTAACTTGTGCGACAGAAGTCAACCCTGAACGTGAAACCAGGCTGAGTTGCCAGGATTATTATGCCAGACACACAGAACAACTACAACTAAACACATATTTGAAACATTACCTGATTTGGATGTAATAACAAGAACTCGATCATCCAGTGTTTTTATCGTCTTCTTGAAGCCACAAAGGGCTTCAGAAAGCTGAATTTTCATTTTCATGATCAAGTCATGGCCTCGTCTCTGAAAGACACTATGATCCTTCTGATCAAGCACAATTATGACATCACCAGGCTCCAGCTCAGGCTCCTGATCTCCTTCTCCATGAAATAGTATCTTTTGCCCATCCTTCATACCTATGAAACATCATCCCTTTCTGATTAGCCATTCCTGTTAAAAACCAGACTTTCAACAAAGCTTCTGAAGGCACACAGAGCCCCCTGGGGTTCTTATTCATCAAACCTCCCAACCTGGTGCAGGCATGGGGCTGGGATTACCACTGAGAAAGAGGCCTCACTGCCCTCTTGCATATTGAGGGTCTTCAACCAAGCAGGCAGCAGAAGAGTGGGAAACGAGGCCGTCACAAGTCCACCGCACACTCCCTGCCCACCCAGGCTCTGCAATGCCACAGCCCACACTGTGCTCCGGGCACAAGGCCACCACCCACTTGTCAACGCACACGCAGTGCACGGCTCTGGGGGCCTCCTAACAAGTCGCTGTGTTCACACAGGCACACGGTTAAGGCATGTTCGTTTTAACAAGAAGTCCAACCCCTGTGTTGATTTCAGTGTTGAATGATGTACTTTGGTGTCACCTTTCATTTAAATACATTTGCTCGATTAGGAAGCCACAGAATAATCAGGGGGAACAACAAAGAGGGGAAAAGACCTTAAAATGACGACCCCAGGCAAAATGAATAGCAGGGGTAAGATGCTGGATTTGGGAGACTCTGATGCAAGAGGTGGGGAACATATGGAGAAGCAGGACATGCAGCTACAAAGACTTACATAAGCTCAAAAGTCATTAGCAAGAACACTCCAAATGATTCTAAAGGAATGGTCTGAGAATGGCAAGAGAGGGCAATTAACCAAAACCATGTTCAAGTGACTTCCACAGCATAGGAAAACCTTAAAAAGAAGTGGTTTCTGATCGCATGGAAGCAGACCTCAGCAAGAAAACTTTGGCAGGTAACACAGGATGGAAACAAAGCCAGGGAGGGTCAAGGGAAGATGCCTTGGAAATCGGAGGAATTGACAGCACACTCCAATGGTGCTCAGCTACCCCCCATACTCTCTCATTTCCCTGCTACCTAACCCGTGTGTCCCAGGGTCAGCACCCGCGAAGCATTTCCACCAGCCTGGGGTGCCAGTTCTGCGCAGCCTCACCTTTCTCCACGTGCACCTCGATAATCTTCTTCTCTCGGATGACCTTAGCGCCACTGCAGTTTTCGCAGCGGTCCTTGGGGTTGATGCGCTCGCCCTGGCCCTTGCACTCGATGCACACGGTCTGGATCTGCTGCACCATGCCTGGCCCGATCTGCTGGATGTGGATCTGCATCCCCCGCCCCTTGCACAGCGGGCACTTCTCCACGGAGCCTTTCTTCCCACCAACACCTGCGGGGAGACAGGAATGAGGCTGTGCTCTCCCCTTAGAAGCAGCTCTGCTGGGTGCCACCGCAGAAGGGTAATGATCCATGAAACTGGACACTGCAGTTTGAATTCTATTTACAATCATGAAAAGACACGTGGAAGAGTCTGGATGATTCCAGCCAAGCAGACACCATCTAGATGTTAACATGTGATCGCAAACATCTGTGGTTTTGGCTGTGCCAAGACAAATTCATCGCTTAAGCTTCACCAACTGTGTTTTCTTCTATCCCAGGATGAAAAAACACCCATGCCTCCACATGACAGTGGAGACCGGAGAACACAGCTCTGTCCATGGGGTGGCTACCCAGCTCAGCCACCTCTCTGTGGGACAATGTGGGACAAAGTCATCAGATCTGACTTTTCTTGAAAATTCAGATTTTAAAAAATTATGTTAATTACATTTACATTTAAGTCAGGGATCAGTAAACCATGGCCAGCTAGCTGGTTTGTCAATAAAACTTTATTGGAAGACAGGAACATCATCTATTTATTTACTATCTACTGCTGCTTGAACAGTTACAACAGAGACTGCATTTTTATATTTTTCAAATAATTGTCAACATATTAAATAAATGTGCAGTCCAAATAAAAAATGTACAGGGCCAAATAAAACAGATTTGGCCCTCAGGCCACCTGTGTGCAATATCTGTTAGACATTTGAAGATAAATGATTCTTCTCTGAATTGTACATCAGTAAGAACTGTTTTCAGATCTAAGGCATCAGAATTATGAGATTCATTCAAAAATTAATTCTTACCTTCACATTTCTCACAAATTACATTTTTCTGGAGAGCCAATTTCTTTGTGACTCCATTATATAAATCTTCAAGAGTTACAGACAACTGATGTACAACATTCTTGCCTTGCCAAAGGAAAGAAAAAATAATTAATACTGTATTACGTATACTACTGTATTAAATACCACCCTTATGACACTCATTTGTATGAAGTCTCAAAACTGCACGTGTGTCATTCATTCCTTTCCCTGCAGGAAGCAATGCCGCTGTTACACCTGGCCCATCCTTCTGGCCCTCTGCCAATATGAGAACTAATACCCTTTCTAGCTATGAGCTAATTACTCAATCATGTATAGATGGCAACAAAAAGACTTTCCAACTTTATTTTCTAAGAACAAATCTGAGGACAGGAAGATGAGTGAAGAAACCTAAGGCAACGTTAACCAATGAAATTGGTTTCATTCAGGTTCTCCCCATGAAAGGAGCCTTTACGAATGATGCATGAAGCCAGTCTCTGGACCTTTCACTGGAACTCTTCCTTGAACATGCCCTTTACTTTTTGAGCCCTCCCGTGACTAGTGGCCCAGTGGGAACTCTCTGATCTGCGGAAGTAGTATCTGTACGTCCAGGATGGTGGGCCTTTCATCTTCGGGATGGGGGAATCTGTCTCCTGTGGCACCATGCCAGCCTGTCAAGACCCACAGCATCAGGTCCTTCTCTGCTGCCCATAGGGCTCTTGAGGTCACTGAGACGAGCTGTCCTTGTCTACTGGCTGTTAACTTTGAGAGATGACTTAATTAAGGGCATGAAGCTGTTCATCTCAAGACAGTGAGAGAGCTGGGCAAGATCATATCCACACAATTATACGAGCAGGCAACACAGCCAGACAACAGGGTAAGGATTTTTCCCTAATAAACACTTTGTGATTTTCAGCACACTGTATTCACAGAATTGACAGCCAAGCTTTTCAAAGCTCAAAGTCAATTATAATGTGAGAACAAGTATAGCTGTATTTATCTAGGCACCTCTTGTTGACCCAAATTGCCCTTCCTAAAGCCCAATGTAGAGCTTCTTTCTTTTGACTTCATCCAGGACTGTAATAAGCTTGATTATCTGACTGGTTTTGAGGTCCAAAGCAGAGTATCAACTGTAAACTGGACAGGGGAAGGGGGCTGGCTATTAAAGGCCACTGGTAACAGTGAGAGGTGCCAGCCCATAGCCTGGCAGGAGGTAAGAGGTAGACAAATTAGGAAGAGCAAAGCCTAAAACTCAAAACAGGCTGGGGGCCATTCCACCAAGAGCTAGCGCCTCATTCACCTCCGAGGATGAAGCTGTTAGTCCTAATGCATTCTGAAGAGGGAGGCAAGGCAGTTTTTTTTACAAAGATATTCAAACATAAAAGGGTAAATTTTGTTACCTAGAACATCTCCTGAGCAGACTGAGAAAAGGAGGCCACGCCGCCCACGGTAGAGCCCGCAGGCCCCGGCCCCGGTCAGGAGGCCCGGGGAGGAGGGTGTGCACCAGGGGAGAAACACTCCCTGCAGAGGCATCACTAATAACCACAGGAGGGGCCATTTGTGTCCCTTAGGACACGCAGGAACCTGACCCCAACAGCAGTGAGAAAGAGGGCAAGGTGAACCTGAACTTCCTCTTCTCTTCTCAACCATTTGCTCCTTTATATGTGGTATTTAGAGGGTGTCAACTGCTAAATGCACTAAGAGATCCCAGGTAGCCTGGATACTAGACAAGGGGTAACCTGCTTAAAGCTAATGACCCCCACACGTGACAACTGTACCCTTTTAAGGCATGATCCATCCTGACTCCATTAGCATGTACAATTTGCAAACTGTAAAATTTGCTTAATGTCTCTATAAGAATTTACCTCTTCTCTCTCTAGCCATCCGTCCTCCGCCACCAAAGAACATGTCAAAGATGTCCATGGGGGACGAGAAGCTGGGGCTGCCTGAGCCTCCTTCCTTTATCGCCTGTTCGCCGCCCTGGTCATAGATGTCCCTTTTCTTTGGATCTGAAAGCACTTCATATGCCTGGGATATGAGCTTAAACTTTAAAAGAAAAAAAGATTAAAGAGAGAGAGGGAAAGAAGGCTTGAATTGTTTATGAAGCAAACCCTCCATATGAATGTAAGGACAGAGGTATTCTGCTCCCAACCCTCCAAGCTAGCGGGTCTCTGTTATCTGGAACCTGATTTTTCCACTTACTCCCCTTGTAGAGTGGGAAACACAGGGCAAACATTATTAAGGGATGAGAGGCAGGGTCACAGGAGGGCACAGGGAGAGAGAGCAGTAGGCAGGAACGTTTCTCCCTACTCAGGCTGCACACGACAGGGAGAAGTGGAGAGTAGCTGGGATGCAGGGAGACCAGGCCAGGGTTTAACCTACAACTGGGTAAGTCCCAGGACTCCCGGGCGCTACTGTCGGCCTTCCAGCTTACGCGGGCTACTTTCCTAGTTGACTGGCATGAAATTCAACTACAGACATCCTGTGAGCACCCATCAGCACGCGGGCTGCGGACGCTGTGCATACACCCGCCCTAATCTCCCCCCAATCTCCCTCCAAAGCCCTGCCCCTCCCAGAGTCTCCCCCGTATGTCACTTACAGGTAACGTCAAAACCTCGTTTCCTCTCCCTCACATCCCATCTCTCAACAAACCCTTCTTGAGCTACCCTCAAATGTCTATCTCCAGTACCCTGACAGACAAAATATCCCATGTGTCACACTCCCGCCAAAAATGTAACCCTCCAATCCAATTGTAAGAATCAGAAAACCCCAACTGAAAGACATTCTGAAAACCTGAAAGATAGGAAAACTCAACGCAACATGTGAGCCTGCACTGGATCTTGCACTGGGGAAAAAATGGGTACAAAGGACACTGGAACTGAATAAATGTGATTTATTTTTTCCTCAACGTTAAACTTCTTCAATTTGATAGCTGGGCTATGGTTGTCTGCAAGGATGTTGTTTTTCCTAGGAGAAACATTAAGGGCTGAAAGGTTATGATGGATGCAACTTACTCTCTAAAGCTTCAGCAAACAACCGTAATAGTAGAGACAGGGAAAGCGGAAGTGGAGGCGTACTGACAGCTGCGGAAGGTGGGTGAGGGAAAGGCAGGTGTTCGTTGTACCCCTCTGGTATTTTCTGTATGTACACGAGAGGTTTAAAACTAAAATCAAAACACAGTAAAATATCCAAAATCCGTCCCTTCTCATCACCACCACCACGCCTGCCCTGGCGGAGGCCACCATCTTTTGCCTCAATTATTGCAGTCACCTCCTCGATGGTCTCCCATCTTCCTCCGCCAGCTTTCAGTCTGTTCACACAGCAGCCAGAACGAGCCTTCTAATTGTGTCAGTCCTCTGCCCCAAGCCCTCCGAGGGGGCTCATTTCACATGGAGTAAAAAGTCAGGCCTTACTCGGATCTACAAGCGCAGCCTGACACCTCTGCCCCCTCCCCCTGCACTCCTGCTCCGGCTGCCCCGGCCGCACACCAGGGCGCTCAGTGCCGAGACTGTGAGCCCCACCACAGTGTCTGCTCCCTGAGGACAGCGAGTTAGGTCAGCTTTGTCCTGTTCACCACTGTACCCCCAAACCTAGAACGCTGTCTGGCACGCGGAAGGTACTTGGGAAATGTTTGTTAGATGAATGGCTCTGTTCTGGGAATTCAGAAATGAATCCAAGAGACAGGGTCTTGGCCCACCAGAGCCAGGGCTTAGACTGTGAGACAGCTGTCCATAGGAACAGCCTCTAACGCAGCTGGCTCCAGAAAACATACAGGAGAAACGCACCATGAAGATACAGATATGGAACCTGCCAGAGGCACTAGGTCTTCTCCTGTACTACAGACCCCTTACAGAGATATAATAAGTAACTAAAAAAATAATAAGTTATAGCTAATAAGTAACAGTTAAGAAGTGACTGGGTAATTTTAAAAACTGCCTTAGAGACATCAGAATGAGAATCAAGGCAGCTACATCTTTTGATATGTTAATTCTCACACAATTTCTCCAAAGAAGTAGGCATCATTCATCCTTTCTGCAGCAGCAGAATTGAGGTGTAGGAATTGGGTGCCTAGTACAGAAGATCAGAAAGCAGCTGGGCCAGGCTGCCCGAGAGTTTCTGGGCCCATGTGTACCAGGTAAATATGCGTCATAAGAATGTCCACTAGAAACACTCACCAAAAATTCTGAATACTAGAAAGTCACTTGGACTTAACAGAATGGATGATTAATCTCAGAAGGACAAGGAATGCCCTGTCACTTGGAGCATTCAATCACAGGCCAGATCTCACATGAGAGCGGGGCTCCCACTACCCCTGGGGTCCCAGCACTTCAGAGTCTAACTCAGCTCCCTGCCTGAGCCCGGTCCCACAGCTGGAGATTGTATTCTGACCAGTTCACCTTTCAGACTGTAATCCTGTGTCACAGGACCTTCGTGAGACTAGCATGCAGCTGGGAAAAATGGCTTTGGAGACCGTACAGCATCTTGGAAAAGTATTTGTGATGAAATATTAAGTGATGAGGAAATAAAAAAAACCTCTATACCAGGATGACCATCTACAAACACCTTTTCTACAGGAAAAGCCTGGAAAGAAGCACAGGACACCAGTTAGGGTGATGAGTACTTGAGGGGTTTTCCTCAATATTCTGAAATTTTCCTCACTGTTATGCTCTCTTTCATAATTTTTTACCTTGAAAATCTATTATTCAAACTAAAAGTTAGAGTGAAATTGGCCAAAAGATCAAACTCATCTTAAAAGCCGAACGCAGTTAATAACCAAGAATATATCCCCATCACTGACCCTGAAAAGGACTGGGCTTACTGACCCGCTGCTCACGTGTCTCTCAGAAAACTACGCAGAAAAGGAGAGACTCTGCACAGAGCACCTGGTGACAAACACAGGCTGCCCAATGCTTAGCAACACGGGACAACAGGACACAAAACAAAGACCAACACCCCAGCAGCCTTCTCAGTTGTCCCGGAGCAAGGAGGAACGGACCGGCTTAGTCTATTTTTGAAGAGACATTAATACAGTTGACAAATTTAAAAGAAAAAAAGTTAAAAAGTTCCACCTTTATGACAGATACAGTGGACGAGAACTATACACAAACTTGTGCAAAAAAGAACAGACCCACACAGTGTGCCCAGCACATAAGCAGGACCAGAAAGGAGGCATCTGGTAAATGAATGAATGAATACACGAGTCCTCTCTAGGGAGCTTAATAGCAGAGTTTCTATAAATTGTGTCCCCTGTCTCTTCAACCCCCTTCACTTCTGGGGAATGTGGATAGCAAACAAGGAACCATAATTAGAGCAGGATGAGGACTGGGCCAGGGGTTCAGCATACGGTCAGAAGCAGTCTCCTGGAAGGAGTTTTAGTAGAGAACTGAATTAAAGACTTTTATCCCCTTTGTGGGAAGTGAGGAGGGGATAGTATCCTTGGCCAGGAGAACATCACAGAACCCCCACCCTCACCCCTAAGCTGGGAGGGACCTGCCAGACTTTATTATCAAGAGCCTCACTTATGTGACAATAATTCAGTAACTGGCTATAAATAAATATTAGTTTAAAACCAACCAACCCTGCTCAGACAGGTATATGAAGGGCAACACCTACAGAAATGTGGTACAGGTCAAGTCCAGTTTTAAAAAAAGCTTCAGAACACCAAGAGCAGACTCACTCCAACTGTAGGCTCACAGCCATGACTTCCTCTTGGAGAGTGCTATGAGATCTGACCTGAAACCAGGGTCAGGAGGCTTTCCCACACGCACCCCTGAAACGTGAGATTAGCAGCCTGGGTGCACTCTCCTTAAAGGAGGTTCTAAGAAACAGCCGACAATGAATTTAGGGAGCACATCTATGAATCACCAACAGCACGTAGAAAGCCAGTGACTTCAAAAGCTACAGTAAGCTACCTAAATATAGATGAGAAAGAACACAAGTAACAGACAAATGGTCTTACAGGAAAGCATTTTAAACTTGTGACAACCACACTCCGCACATGTGGCTAAATATAAATATTCTATCACTGTTGCCACCCAGCCAATCTTCCTTAGGCAGCTTCCTCCAGCCCAGAATAGCTAACACAGACAGGTATTTTAATACTAGCTTTGTTTCCAAGGGTCTCAATGCTAGATGGGTGATCTGTGGCTTCAAAAGTGGCCGGGGTGTCACTGCTGTCGGCTACTACAAAAGCGCCAGCTCATCCAGGACATGTGAAGTTGTATAAGGAAACGGCAAGAAGAGAAAGGAGTGAGCAGGCCAACACGCTTTCCCAAGGATCAGTGCCCGATCTTCCTAGTCACCTCCTCAGGTGGGTAATGAGCTTCCTTCAGCATAAGAAGCAGGCTGACTCTATTCCTATGAACAGGATGAAAAAAATTTAATTTAGGTCTCTATTATGCAGAGCATTTTTCAGTCCAATATTGGAACAAGTGAGGGTCATTTGCCACAGAAAACCTGGAATGTTCGTATAAAATGATGTGTCAGGTTAAAGATCTCCGTGTCCCTGTTAAAAAAAAAAAGTGACTATTCAATATCTGACAACCTATATGAGGCAGGAAATAGGTACACGGGATAAATCCAGTCAGCCATTCTCAAGAGGGACTCAGAGTTTTTCCAAGGTACCAGCTCAGATGAAAGAAACTCATCTCTAGGGTTTATCTATCAACAGGGAATAGGAACACACACACACAAAAAAATTCATTCTCGCTCAATCCCAGCAAGCACACAACTTCTGGTCGCGCGTGCCTCGGTTTCCCGGTTTGCTGGCTGCCTCTCCTACAGGAATGCCCGCAAACCCTGTGAGAACTGGGCCCCCACGTTTCAGTCCCACCCCTCCCTGACGTTCCGAGGGGCCCCATCAACACTTGTGGAGCGAACGGAGGAATGAATGGGCCGCGCGGGGGCTCACGAGGGGTCCCGGGGCCTCGGGTCCCCGCACCAG